GTGAGTGAGTGAGTGAGTGAGTGAGTGAGTGAGTGAGTGAGTGAGTGAGTGAGAGTCAGAGAGTGAGAGTGAGTGTGAGTGAGAGTGGGTGTGGATGAGAGTGAGTGTGAGTGAGGGTGAGCGAGTGTGAGTGCGAGAGTGAGTGTGAGTGTGAATCTGAATGTGTGTGTGTGTGTGAGCGAGCGTGAGTGTGAATGTGAGCGTAGGTGAAGAGTGAGTGTGTGTGTGTGTGAGTGAGTGAGAGTGAGAGTGAGGGAGTGAGAGAGTGAGCATCTGAGAGCACACAGTGCTGTGCCTGCTACGAAATCTTCACATCGAGGTTCACAAAGCGCTGCACCTGCCACGAAATCTTCGAGGTTCACAAAGTGCTGCGCCTGCCACGAAATCTGCATTTCGAGCTTCACCAAGTGCTGTGCCTGCCACGAAATCTGCGCTTCGAGCTTCACCAAGTGCTGTGCCTGCCACGAAATCTGCACTTCGAGTTTCACCAAGTGCTGTGCCTGCCACGAAATCTGCGCTTTGAGGTTCACCAAGTGCTGTGCCTGCCACGAAATCTGCACTTCGAGGTTCACCAAGTGCTGTGCCTGCCACGAAATCTGCACATCGAGGTTCACAAAGTGCTGCGCCTGTCACGAACTCTGCGCGTCGAGGTTCACAAAGTGCTGTGCCTGTCACGAAATCTGCACATCGAGGTTCACAAAGTGCTGCGCCCGTCATGAAATCTGCAAACGAGCCATATGTCCAAAAGTCACTATTCACTGCAACTGTCAGGAAATCTGAGCTCCTCAACGATCACCACCATTGTCCAAAGTGCTGCGCCTGCCACGAAAACTGCATTTCGAAGAAAAACACCTCCGATCCCTTGCACCTGTCACGAAAAGCCGACTTTCAATCACCAAAGCACAGGTTTCCCTTGCGCCTGCCACGAAAAGTGACCACCATGTGCGAAAATGCGCGCGGCACCACAAGGAGAGCGCAGTCGCTAGAAGCACCCGCCGCGGGCCCAGATTCTGCGAGCCTGCACAGTCGAAATGCACTTCGAGGCTTTCGAATGTACTGTAAATAGCAGCGAATTAGCCGGTCACGCCCGCGCGCTTCAGCGATCTAAGCATCAGCTGCTTTTCACCTACCGTAAAAACCTGTAGTGTGACCACACTCTTTGGGGAAAAACATTCCGAGGTAAATCAAAGATCAGCTCTGAAACAGCCTGAACAATTTAGATTTGCTAAAAGAATGGAGAAGCACTTGCCCCCTGCCTTTGCCTTTGCTCCTGCCGTCAGGGGAAGCGAGAGAACCAAGCATTAAAGCTGCAGAAGCAAAAGGACGAAGAGAAAGCAAAGTCGTTCAGCTGCAGAAAAGGTTAAGTATGGGCCGATGGGCCGTGATTTTACCTTTACATGGACCTTTTTGAGAGATTGAGTTCTTTTCAGAGTCTCCACATCTCTCCACCAACATCCACCACCAAAATCTAGTTTCATTAAAAACAAACTGATTAGGGATGCCTGTTGTGTTGACACAGAACCTGACGCCAAGGAGGGAGGCTGCTGAAGAGCAGATGAGACAAGAACAAGAAGAGGCCGAGTGTTTCTATGTCCCACACTCCTTGTATCGAGTAATCATAATGCCTGCACATTGACCCCGGAATAAAGAAAAATATTATTTGCATATCCCGTCGTACCTCAGAAGGTATTTGGACCTTCCTGCCACCCACCCCAATCCCACCTTCTCAGGCTCGGTACGACTGGAGGCCACAAACGGGTATATATACACATATGCCATCTAATCGATCTAACCGATGGAGTTGGTTCGGAAAAACATGTAAATAACACAAAAGTAAATTGAGGGAACCTCTGAAAACAACAAATCACGATATGCAGCTCTGCTGAAAAAATCAGCGATCCTGCTTGCAGATGCAGATGACAGGCTGTTTCCCGCGCCCCTGGGATGCGAACGCGCCAGGCTGAGAATAAAAAGCAAAGGCAAGAACAGGCGAGTTTATGGCTGTGAATGTCCCATATTCCCCCTCCAGTTCTTGAGAAGTGATAGCTTCAAAGAAAGAGGATTGTTTGGTTCTTCCATGTGTTTGACAGGGATCTTGGTTGCGGCCTTTTCATCCCTCAAGTGGTTCCAATGATTCTACACTAACACTCCATGTACTGGCACATATGCTTATATACCCTGGATAGTTTGAGAGGTCTATACCAGCACCTCCAACAGGTCACCAATTGAAACCTGTTAGGGCCTAACAACCCTCCAAAGGAGACCTGTTGGAAGGTGCTGGTATATTTTATAGGTATCTCTCAGTCCCATGGTGTGTTTGGGATATACGCTGAGTCAAGTGCACAGTCCCTGGTGCTAGCTTCTGTTTCCTGCTGGCTGCCACCCGTAAACCCATGAAACAACACTGTCATCAGTGGTTTGCTGACTGAACTCAGCAGATAGAATCAGATGGGAGAACTTGAATACTGGGCATTCGCCATGTCGTGATTCAGCTGGGGATGCCGCCCGTGCCAGGCGAACTTCTGGAAAGCCATGCAGGCCCACGAACAAACCAAGAAGAAGTCCATGGAGCCCTTCGTCACTGAGGAGGTCATTCAGCAACCCAAGAAGATGGACTTCAGCATGTTCAAGAGTTCGATTCAGCCTGTCAAGCAGCAAGTTCGGCACAAATCACCTGAGAAGCCGAAAGAAGAAGAGAAGCCTGAGATCGAGACCAAGAAGATGGATCCTACGGCTCAAGCAGCTGTTTCTGCTGTGCAGGGCTATGGCTATGGGGTTGATACCAGTGCTTTGAGCGCTTTATATGGCTACAGCATGGTTCCTGGCTTGAGTGCCCTTAGCATGGTGCCTGGATACTCTGGCTATTCCTTCCCCTCCATGGCTGGTCTCAGCAGCATGGCTGCTCTCGGCGGCAAGACCGCGACCGCCTCAGCGACCGCCACGGCCGTCACTGCTCCCACCTCCGCAGCTGCCGCAGTGGCCGCCTCCGCGGCCGCCACAGCTGCAGCCCAAGCTGCGTCTCAAGCGCCGGCGGAGTCGAAAGCAGCAGCACCCGGGGCGGCGACCGTGGGCTCCGGGTCCAAGGAGACCTTGCTCAGTGTCTCGAAGCCGAAATCCAGCATGGCCATCCGGATCGGTAGCATGGGTTCCGCGGCCACCCCTGCTCCCGCAGCAGCTCCTGCCGTTGGAACCGCGCTTGGAACGGCTCCATGTGGCTCCCAGAGACCCACCACTCCGCCCAAGGCGCCACCTGGTCCGCCCCAATCCTATCAGTCTCGTCCAGAGTCTCAGTCTGCCTCTCAGAAGTGGGATCAATCTGGTCATTCTCAGTGGGATGGCTATGCGCAGTGGGGCTGGGACAAGGGCTGGGAAAAGGGATCGAAGGGTTGGGAGAAGGGGTGGGAAAAGGGTTGGGGCAAGGATTCTTGGGGAAAAGGCAAGGGCTATGGCTATCCCAGTCAGTCTTGGGATGCTCACGGCCGAGCTGAGTACTCCAAGCAGTCCAAAACTGAGGACAAGGGACCAAAGGTGGGACAACCGGCCTTCCCACAGCTGCAGCAGCAACATCCAGAGGTGGATCGTAAGCAGCGTGATGAGCAAAAGCGCCAAATGCAATCCTTTGCGGGGCAGGCCAGGCGCCCGAAGTCGGAACAGGACATCAGCCATGGCTGGATTGACTGGAAATGGTGGGTGATGTGCCGGAAACCCATAGAGATCAGGATTTGAAGCCCCCATGTTTACCCAGCTGGCTTTGGGCAGGTCCGATCCTTGGAGTGTTCCAGAAAAAACCTGTGGACATGACTGAACCTCTCTTGAGGGGTATGGCGGTGAATCCGTTGGTGAAACAGATGTTGGCACACTTGAGATGCAAAGATGCTCCAATACGTGGCAAACGACCTGCTCCTACTGGTTTCTATTGGTTTCTTCTGCTTTCTGATGGGTTCCGTAGCTTCAAGACAATCTAAGATCCCCTAGTTGGATTACTTCCTTTCATGGTTCAATGACACAATATGTTCAACGAGAACCGTGGAGCACCCCGATATGGGTTCTCTTTGGGAATTTAGGATTGGACTGTTTGTTCACGGAGTGTTTTTATTCTTTTCTGGAGGTTGTCAGCGATCAGAGAATGTAGGCACAACCCGTTCAGCCAGCTTGGCAGTTCTCAATGTTGTCCTAGACTCTTGTAAATTCCTTTATGCAAGTCACTAGGTCACTGGTGTTTGCAGGCCTTAGTCATTCTCCATGCGCAGGCTGCAGTTGACGAGGACCCGCAGCAGAAGGCTTGACATCTTGACATCGTCTTGACATAGTGAGCCGTGTCAATAACTGTTTATCAGCCACTTTTGATTGTCATGAGTCATGAGTCATGACCAACATTGTTGGATGTCCTCGAGAAAGGAGAGGTGACTGCCCAAAAATGCTATCGCAGGTGCCTGCAACATCCTGCAACCCCATACCCGACCATATATCCACCTAGTTCTCATACCTCAGATCTCCCTGGTGGATTCTAGTCCAGACTGTAAAAATTAACCAGGACTTTGGGGATGAACCAGGAGGTCAAGACTGGAGGCAAATCCACTTCCTTTTCAGTGATTCCCACTGGTAACAGATTCCAACACTCATCACTCTTTTTAGGGATCCACATACTTCTCAGCGAGGAGGTTTTTGGACCCTCCAAGCCTATACATCAAAGTTTCTCCAATCACTTAGACCTCAAAGGGGATATCGGATGATGGTAGAGGATCCACTCGTTTTTCAGTCGATGTTGGGAAACTTCATTGACTGAAATCGACTGGAATGTGGAGAACATCCGACATCACACGGTACACTGTCGCTCTCTCACTCTACTGGTTTGATGTGCAGAATTCGATGGACACCCAGGCAGCCCGAGTGTCAGTGTCAAGAACAGAATCATATGATGGATGTGTATGAGGGAGATCTCTCAACCAATGGGTTTTGCTTTGCTTCCCCTCTTCCGTCGGGAGTGTTTGGGAGGTCTCCCTACTTAATACACACACATATGAGAATCCCCTATGAGCTGCGAACAAAACACTCAGCTATGGATTCTTCTGGATGGTATAGGATTACGATCCAGCATAGGGATGTAGAAAAACATGTTGTTCTGCTAGCTTTTGGCTCCCCTGGACCCACCAATCCCAACCAGAGGTTGCCGACACCCGAGCAAACTTCCAGGGAATGACACCCTCAACAAATGACCGATTTCTGCATATAAGATGCATAGGATAGATCTGGGCACCCCCTCAAATAACCATCTAAAGAAGCCTCTTCTACAGAATCCACTTGGTATTCTACATCCCAACAACTGCATATGATCATTTCGTTGCATGTCCAGTTTGCAGAAGCCCTTCTACAGAAACCACTTAGGTGTTCTACATCAAAAGAAAACGCGTTCCCTGGATGTAGAACACCAAACCGGTGGGTGTTCGACATCCGAAAATCCGGGGCCATTGCTCTCCCCCCTGGATGCACAACGGCGGGGAAACCCGGTTTGGCCTGCAGGATGCACCCTGGAGACGAGCGGTGCGCGCGAGCTCGGGGGCCCTGGGAGGGTCGGAGGGTCTGGTGATCGAAATCGCAGGGTTGCACCCACCAGCACCTTCCCAGGACTCCAATATTATAGTCGGGTATACTCTATTATGATAGTTTATGCAGTTATATAATCTTATCTAATATATTCACTAACATTGTGCACCTCCATGTTTGTTCGCCCTTTTGAAGGAACACCTGTAATTTGCTCGTGCACATGTTTCCTTCGCTCCTTTCGGTCCAGACTTCGAAGTACCGCCCAGACATGACCTGGCTCATCCAATAGGGCTCAATGCTCGATTTCTCGAGGCCCATCCATTTCAAACCATGATTTGGTTCAGTACTATGAAGTATCTTGGTTCAGTTTTGTGTCTCAAGCACCTCCTGTATATATATATATATTGTCAATAGGGATGAGGTCTCAGTATAGTCGCTATACAAGTACATGCCATATACATTTTGGCTCAAGTGCCCAACCAGGTAAAAAGGAGCTTTAGCGCGCGAGCTTCATGTCAAACTAAGGGCTAGAACGGGGCCAGGGGCACGCTTTTCATCCGTTCGCAGGTTATCAGCCGTATCCAGACTCCCTTGAGCTGGGTACGTGCTGCGGCCTTACACAACACCATCTAAACGCACACGCATCGGATAGATCAGTTACCCTCAGTCACTGAAGATGGAACAATCCGACGCCAGCACTGCATCCTTCGGAGCAGCTGCTGCGGCCGCAGATCGGATGAGTGCATCCCACAACTCTAGTCCAGGTACGATCGAAGCGGAGACTCTGACAGTGGTGAGAGAAGGTGCGACAGGTAGAGCGCGAAGTCGTTCCCCGTCAGCGCAATCGACACCACCGGGGGGGACACCAAGATCAGGCCGTAGCCCTAGAGAGACGAGGAGGAGGACTGACACCGGAGCTGTGAGAGTGCTAGCATTGGAGGATGGGTCAACTGTACCAGTGCCGTCGGACAGCGAAGCTGGAGATGGAGCAAGGGCAAGCACTGACAACCTACAACTAGCACGGGCCGATGGAGACCTGAATGCGAAGTGTGCGCAACTACTTGCCGAAGTGCATATGTTGAACCACCAAAACGCATGGATGGTCGAATGTGAGCAGAGACAGAACCAGATTATACAACACGAGACCGAAGTCCACGAAGTAGTGATGGCACACCTCGAAGAATGTTATGTCGAAGGATATGGAAATCAACGAAGAATCTCCCAACTTACAGAATCCAGAGACTGTTTGCTCTCGGCAGCACACGATTTGCAATACCAGATTGACACTGATCGTGTGGCAATGCGGGATCGTCTCACCCAGTTAGGGGAGTACGCTGATCGCAACAGCGCAGAGATGGTTAGCCAAGTTGTGAACATCGGCACGGAAGAGATCCAGGCTATATCGGCGCAAAGAGATCGAGCCGTAACCGAGGTCATGACTGCAGTCGCAGATGCTGAGAACATTAGAGATCTGTATAGGCAGGAGATAGTTGGACTACAAAGGCAGAGTGTCAGGAACAAACACGAATATGCCGAGGAGATGAAGATGAAGGAAGCAATGTATACAAGCAAGATCAAATGGTTATCAGAAGAGAATGAGGAGCTCAACAACCGATCTTATAATCAGGACAATTTCATCATGACCATCAGAGAGCAATTGAAGAGGGCGAACGAGGAGTTGACGCAGGCGAGGATTCAAGGATCCGATCGACCGTCTCAACCATCCAACGTCGAACTCAAGAAAGCTGAGGTCAAGATGAACATGTTGGAAGAAGACATTCTACGTAAAGAGAGGATGTTGAAACGTCTTCAGGAAGAATTGATCGAATCAAGCGCGAGTGAAGCACAGCTGAAAGTCGCACTGAAGATGAAACCACCAGACATGGGATCAGAATCCAATGTGGAGAATGAGATGATGACCAAGCTTAGAGCGGAACTTGAACGCACCGAAAAGTCATTAAGGTCCGAGGAGAAAGAGGCGATGGAGTACTACGAAGGTATGATGCAGAACCAGCAGGACATGATGGAATTCGAAGCACATGCAGCACGACTCAGAGATGAGAGGAATAAGTACCGGAGGAGGTATGAAGAGGAGCGCATGAACGCTGAGAATGCAGCTGCAACCGAACATGGTGCCGCTTCATCCTCTAGCTCGGGTGGCTCCAAGATATCTCGGAAGGAACACGAGAAGATCAACATCCCTGCATGGCCCAAGATACACGACTTGGAGGTTTGGAAATCCCAAGTTGTAGCGGCAGTCGTGACGGCATCGGGCGACGAAAGACAAGAAGATTGGATCCAGTGGCTCTCGGATGCCTTCAAATCACCATATGACCCATTTCTGCTCGAGACATCGGGCGAAGCAAGATTCGCTAGCATAGATGCTAAGCTAGGTATCACCCTACACACGATTATCCACGCAGCAGGTGAGAGATCTCATGACGTTCAACTGAAGGTGAGGCAGATGATGCAGAGACGTGCGAGAGGCACAACTCCGGGAATGGTTAAGGGACGAGAAATGTTAGCGTTGATCGTCGATAGCTTCCGGAGTGCCGACAACGTCGATGTGATGTATGCATCTAAGCACTTATTCGATCTAAAGTTCCCTGGGGATAATCAACTTTCCAGATTCCTTGGACAGTGGGATGAGATCTTATCGGGTATGGATGCGGATGACATGCTTCCTGACAAAGCACTCCGTAACCTGCTTTGGGACAAGATTAAGGACTCCAAAGTTATGGCGTTAGACTTGTCCGTGTACGACAACATGTTGGATAAGGATCCGGATAAGACCTACCAGAAGTTACGAGAGATCATGACGAAGTGGATACGGAAATCAATTGAGACCACAAACAAGAAAGAAAGGGAAAAAGCTTTTGGGAACCTCGTGAAGGCCACACCAGCTGCGGAGAAGAAGGACCCTAAAGCGAAACCCAAGAATACCAAGGCCGATCCACCGAAGGACGCCGCTCCTGTACTTCCTCAGGCTAATCCGAAGGACCACAACAAGAAGGACAAGAAGCAGGATCGTGGAAGATCAACCACGAAGAGCCCAAAGGGGGATCGTGGCAGGTCAGCGACTCCAGCAGACACGTCCAAGATAGGATGCGCTTTCCACTTCCATGGAAAAAACGGATGTTCTAGAGGAGACAAATGCAAGTTTAGTCACCAGGAGAAGCACA